GTGCGCAAGAAGCCGAGAGACAGAAAAAGAGTAAAACGAAAAGGGAAAAGTCTCTCCCCGAAATTCAAAACCGCCAGGCTACGTGTCGACCAAGGGGCACGCCTGACAAAACATTAAATGCAAGCCATCATCGCTTAACCGCCATTTCCTTTAGTGCGCCGACCGCACGTTTCAGAAATTCAATCTTCTAACCACTCATTCATTCACTATGTTTTTCCATAATTGCAGGCGATGGACAAAGATTTCGAAACATGGCTAGACGAAACAATGGTATTGTTGGGTGCCATACAAGAAAATGATTGTCAGCCACACAGCATTGCCATTGTTCCGGAGGAACTTGGGAAATGGAGCAAGAAAGAGTACGAGCCAAAGGTGGTGTCGATCGGGCCCCGGTTCAAGGGAAGAAAGAAACTTCTACCAATGGAAGAGATCAAGTTGCGTTGCATGCTGCACCTTTCTAAGAGAACAGGAAGAGATTCTCTCGAGGAAAAGCTAAAAAGCTGTATGAGATTCATCTTTAGGTTAGACGCAGCTGTTCGCACTAGCTATGGGGATCAAATCGATTTGGACAGCTACGGTCTAGCCACCATTATGTTACACGACGCTTGCTTTCTCTTAGAGCTTTTCATTTCTCAATCAGTGGAATGGAATTCAAAGCTACAACCCCACAATGACACACTCCCTCCTAGCCCCGCAGCTCAACTCGGGAATATCGAACTCATCTTGAGCGATCTCACCTTATTAGAAAACCAGATACCCTTTTTTGTTCTCTTTCACGTCTTCGCTATATTTTTTCCCCATCTCGTTCCTAACGACAACCCGTTTCTCTGGAAGATTTACCTTAGTATTACACAAGATTTGGCGCTGTCTCTTTTTGGCTACTCTCGTGATTCAAGTTCTACCTCTATTCCCGATCCCATTGATGCCTCTCACATTCTTCAACTTATTCACTCCTTCATTCTCAATCCCCAAATCCACCATGGTTCATGTGTTATTGATATTGAAGTTAATGTTAATAATGTGTACTTCATACGGTGGATACATCATTATCTGGTTGTACCTGGAATAGGCGTCGAGGAAGCTGAGGAGGGCATGCCCGGATGCTCCGTCGACTAACCTATCGATGCTCGGCAAGGGGTACGAGTCCTTGGGGCATGCTTTGTTGAGGTCGGCGTAATCGACGCACATGCGCCACTTTCCCGAGTTCTTCTTTACTAGGACTACGTTTGCCAGCCAGGTAGTGTACCTGACTTCCGGGATGAAACCAGCGTTGAGCAATTTCTGAGTTTCTATGATGACGGCATCCCGTCTTTCGCCGCCGACCTTCCTTTTTCTTTGTGCGATCGGCTTGACCTCTTTGTGTATCGCTAACCTGTGGCAGATGAA